GTGGGGAGGGGGGGCAGAGAGATAAAAGGGGGGGGGGGAAGAGAGATTAAGATGGGGGGAGAGAAATGTAAAGTGTGGGGGGGGAAGCTGCGAGGCGCAATATAAACAGGTAGTCTTTAATTAATCAGATTAGCCCGGAGGTCCCCGCGCTGTAAGGGATCACCCGGCGCAGCGCCCGGGTGGAGGGGGGGTGGTGGTTTAGGGAGGTGTCGAGCCGCGCTTTTCATCCCCAAATTCCGCGGAAATAGGGGGGGAGGATCTGCTGCCGCTCCTCCCCACCACCTCCGCGGGAGCGCCCCGGACCGGGCGGCCCCGGGGGAGCGGGGAAAGGGGGGGTGCAGTCCCCCCCGTCCCCCACCAGCATTCAGGTGCTAACCTACTTATTTGAAAGTAATTTATTTTCCATTTTGCCCGTTTTCCCCCTTTAAAACAGAACGCTGAAAGAAAGAATAAGTGCTTTAACATTTCAATGTTGTGCTCTGGTAATTACTTTTTCACTTTTCCCCTAAGTTCCAATGTGAAAACCTCACAGGGGGGTCTTTGCTGCAGCAGGGCTACAGTTCCCAATCCCAAGCGCAAGATCTGCAATTACAAACCCATTCGGTTGCCCTTCCCTATCATTAATATGCACAAAATCCTGCCGCTAATCTTATAATCTGTTTTGTTTCATCAATTGCTTTGCCTAGCACCAGGCGGGAAAGAAAAAGAGGGAAAGAAAAAGAAAGAAAGAGGAGAAGAATAAAGCCGGAAAAAAAACCACGGCAAGCTTCCTAAAGTAAACGAACAAACAAATCCATCGGGTTTTATTTCTAATAAAGCGAAAATGGTTAAGAGCGTTAAATGGAAGCGGGAGTTTCCGCTGGAGGGAGGGAGGGAGTGTGTGTCAGGGAAATTCGAGGCGAAATCTGACGATTTCCAACATTTTATTAGCGTATTTGATTTCTCCGCGCACGGGTCACAAAATGAAGTTACTTAAGCGCTGGGTCGCGGAAGAGAGAGGTTGCGCGGAAACAACTCAAGAGCACTGATTGCTGTTTCTGGGGTGGTTTTGGGCGAGGGAGCAGAGGCGGGGGTGTGTGTGTGTGTGTGGTGTGTGTATATGGGGGTGTGTGTATGTGGGGGGTGTTTGTGTGTCGGGTTGGGGTGCGCCTCCGCCGCCCCCCGCGCTCCCCTCCGCAGCCGCGCAGCGCCCGCGGGCTCGTCACACGTTGTCATGAAGACTTCAGTAAAACAATAAAGACATTATTATTATTATTATTATTAATTTTTAAATCCCCCTCCTTTCCCTCACCCGGCGCGGTATGAAGGGAATAAAACAATCTCCGCCACACGGCTCCTATTGAGATTAATGAAAAAATTATGCAAAAAAAAAAAAAAAAAAAAAAAAATATAGTTTTCTTTAGATCAAAAACTGATATTTTTACGTCAGCCATATGTATTTTTTTTAAAAAAAA